CTCTCTCTCTCTCTCTCTCTCTCTCTCTCTCTCTCTCTCTCTCTCTCTCTCTCTCTCTCTCTCTCTAAAACAGACCAAGTGTTACCTGTATACGAAAAAGTCCCGTTGCACAGATAGCCATCCCCCACCAACCAATTTCCAAACCTGTTTCCCTCACTTCACACATCACCAAGTCCACTGGCCAGTCGGTGTGTTATCACTGCGGTCACAGCAGGGGTTGAACAGACCGTCCGTAGAGCGACGGGAATACAGTGTAACAGAGGGACTATCAAACGCAATACGTACTTCTTTTTTTTTTTTCTTTTTTTTTTTTGGTAAGTATTTTACTGCGCCCGCAACAGCATACTAAGGTCATACGAGCGCGCGGGACACATTAAACATTTTTTGTTGGAGCAGGAAATTTTGAATTTTGCCGGGTGGCGACCGAAGCCCACTCTTATCGATTTTAGACAACCAAGGGATCTTTAGCGAGCGCAACTTGCACAATGGACCTCCGAGATTTTTTACCCTTGTCCGAGAAGGCTAGGTGTAGATCTTTTCTACCAGAAGATCAGGAGTGTGGCAGAAAGATAGCAGTAAGAAGAAGCCAAGGAGTACCAGCAGAAAGGCTGCAGAAAAGGTCAGAAGCCCAGAGGAGGGGGCAAAGGGGGGTAGGGGCAGAAAGTGGAGACAAAAGCAGACGACAGAACATTGCTAGAGAGCAGGATAGAAGATGAAAGGAGTCAAATTTAGAGAAGAAATGTTTTCGGTCGTTACCCGGATTCGAACCCGGGACCTTTGAATGGGAGGGGGGGGGCACGTGGAGTTGTTGTGGTATAGTCTTTAAGTCTATTCGTTTGCTTCTGATAAAGAAAAAAAATACCAATCTATCTTGAACAAAAGTCGAGATATGTGCGATTGAAGAGGAATGTGGTCCCTTGGTGTCAAGAGTTAAAATTAGCGAGAAAATTGACGCCAAAGTTCAGTGACTTCCAAAACTTTAAAGTCCTTAGGGAACTCTAAATTTACACTTTTTAAATTATCATGAATTTTTTTTCCTTCTTAGCCTTTGATAAGCTTTTCTCAGTTAAATACACTAAAAAATTAAAAGTATTTTTGATGGACATAAAGGTGTTAAAACAAAAGGAGGAAAAATCGATAAAAATTACCCAACGAGCGGGAAAAGATCAGTTTCTCCAATTTCGACGAGGGCCTCTTTTACTACGAAGCTATACATTTGGAAAAAAGTCTACTTCAGCCCTCCATTTCGGACCTTACTTGATATTTTCCTCGCAGCCGAGGTTTCCACTCTCTGTGGGGCTAAAATTGAGATGGACGTGATGTCACACACGCAAGACGATTTTTAACGTAATTTCAAAAAGACCTTTGTGGCGTCCAGGTTAGGCTCTCGGACTCATAACCATAAAGTCGTAGGCCCGAATCCCGTCAGGGCCCGGCGTTGCTTCCGTGCGAATGGCACTTAAAACGAATTTTCCTCACTTCACCCAGGTGGGAAAGGGTACACAGCTATAGACAGCGAAAGATCTTGTCAGTTTGTTGGTGTTTGAGCGCTTAATCAGCTGCTTGCACTGTATGCTTCCCGAGAAGCTGAGAATGTGTCTGAGTGTACTATGGTCTGCTGGGGTAATAATATAGTGTAAAGCACATCTTGTTGTTGAACGCGGGTATGCGTTATACAAATGCTATTTATAATAATAATTATTATTATTA